GGTCAAATACCAAGAAAATATCATAAGTCTTGTTCAACAGGGACAATCTTCAATTAAAGCATGGATAGAACATAATAAGAATCACAACCATCATAATATAAGACTCACGAGCATGCTTGACACCAATATATAGATACTCGTCACCACACCTATACGTTGTACACAACACTAACACGTAGCAAATAAGACACAACGCCTATTCCCTCAAGCTAAGGTTAGGCCAAACACTTACCTCGAATTCCACAGCCAAACTCAAGCCTCAAATGCCGTTTTTCCCTCAGATTTCGTCTCCAATTCACTTGTATCTAGCCATAATTAACTTAACAACATCAATAAATGCTAAAGAATTCAACTCCAATGCTTAATTATAGGTTTTCTATCATTTTTCCCAAAAAGTCAAAAATCGACCCCGGGCCCGCTTGGTCCAAACTCGAGGTTCGGACCAAAACCCGATTACCCATTCACCCCGAGCCCAGATATGCAATTGATTTTGGAATCCGACCTCAATTGAGGTCTAAATCCCCAAATTTTGAAATTTCCAAATTTCACCCAAAAACACCTAATTTCCCATGAAAATCCCTAGATTTTGTGATGAAATCTTGTAAAAAGATGAAGTAGATTGAAAGAAATGAGTTAGAAATTGTTTGCCTATGATTTGGGGAAGAACTTGTCTTTGGAAATTCGCCTATGGGAGCTTAGGGTTTGAAAATTTGGAAGAATGAGTTGAAATCCCGTCTAAGCTGGGCTTTACACAGTTGCAGGTATTGCATTTGCGATAAAATGTTCGCAATTGCGAACTCGCAAATGCGACCAATGCTTCGCAAATGCGAAGGTTGGCCTGGCCTACTGCCTTCGCAAATGCGAACATTGTTCACAATTGCGGCTACTGTGCATGTCGCATTTGCGACGATGAACTTCGCAAATGCGAAGGTCCCCTGCCCAGCCCAGTCTTTGCAATTGCGATGAGCCTTAGCAATTGCGGTGCTCGCATTTGCGAGCCAGACTTCGCAAATGCGAAGTCTGCAGACCCGCAATCACACCAACAATTTCCTTAAGTCTCAAAACACTCCATAGCCCATCCAAAACTCACCCGAGCCCTCGGGGCTCCAAACCAAACATGCACACAAGTCTAGAAATATCATATAGACTTGCTCGTGCGATCAAATCAAAATAACATCTTAAACAGCGAATTTAGCCTCAAAATCAATGAAATTCTCAAGAACACCTAAAGTTACTATTTTCACAACCGAGGGTTCGATTTATATCAAATCAACTCCGATTCTTACCAAATTCTACAGATTCCACTTAAACATTATTTTAAACCTGTACCGGGCTCCGGAATTAAAATACGGGCCCGATACCATCAGGAACACACACCATTTCATTTTCAAAAGTCTTTATATTTTTCAGCAAATAATTTTCTTTAAAAATTCTTTTCTCGGGTTAGGGACTTCGGAATTCGATTCCGAGCATACGCCCGAGTCCCATATTTTCCCACGGACCCTCCGGGACCGTTAAATCACGAGTCCGGGTCCGTTTACTAATAAAATTGACCAAAGTCAACTTAAATTCAATTTTAAAGGCAAAATTAGCATTTTTATCAAGTTTTCACATAAATACTTTTCGGATATACGCCCGGACTGCGCACGCAAATCGAGGTGAGATAAAAGGAGGTTTTTAAGGCCTCGGAACACAAATTTGACTGTTAAAACAAGAGATGACCTTTTGGGTCATCACAATATATGTAAAAGTATAGTATATCATAATTTCTGAAAACTACCATACTCTCTTTAGTTGTTTCCGACAACAAAGAGGACTATAGGATTACTAGTTCTAGTAAGTAGGGGGGGGGGGGGGAGGGGGAGAATATATTAATATTATCTTAAAACGCTATTACATTATTAAATAGAAAAATCATAATGCAATTTAAAGTTCAAATAACGATCATTGGCGAAAAATCTTTAGGTGTAACGAGCATGATATATCCTTGGGTGAACTATGTAAAGATCTCTTACGTATAAAAATAAAGATATATCGAAAGATTTGACAAAAAAAAAAGTACTAATGGATTACAAAACCAATTGACCTTGTGGTATATGGTAAGCAGGGGTGTATATGGACCGAGTTGGTTCGATTTTTATCAAAACCAAACCAAACCAACTATATCGGTTTGGATTGGTTCGGTTTTGTCGAATTTTTGGGGGGGTTTCGGGTTTTTTTTTTTTGGTTACATGAATATTATTTCAATCTTACGTTGTTAAAAGTAAATATATGCTTAGTAAAAATTGAAAAAATTGACAAACATATGATCTATTAACATAATCTTATGGGAGAATCTTCTTAGTAACATATGATAGTTATTTGTTTGCTCGTCTGACAATAATTTCGTTGATGTAAACTTTCAAGTTTAACTGTATTTAATTATTAAACATAAAATTCAATATGATATCTATATAATGATATATTCTATTTAATTCTAAATTATATAAGTACCACTTCAAATTCGAAAAACATATAAGAATTTAATAGATCTTAACATATGAATATGGAAGAACAAAGAGATTGACGCATTTCACTAACACTTGATAAGAAAGTGATCATGCAACCCATTATTTAAAGTTAATAAAAATAGAGCACTTCATATCGAACTAAATATTACATCCCATAAGAGAATCGCAAATATTTCTAGATATTTTTTAGAGTCTGTTTGGAAAGCCACCTTGAAAAATGGATTTGGGTGTAATTGATTGTAATTACACAGTTTGACATATTTGTTTGGCCAAGTAATTACTTGGTCAGCATGTAATTGGCTGTAATTAGATGGATATAATTACACTCTCAAATTCTCAAATGGGAGGTGAGAATTGGTGGTAATTACAAGGTTGCCTTTTAGTTTCTTTCCTTTTTGTCTTTATTTTAATTTATTTTCTGTATAACCTTTTATTTCTATTATTTTATTTTTTAATTTTATTTTTACCTTTTAATTTCTTTTGAAATTTTAAAATATATTTTTCTTCGTACATTATTTATCTTTTGTTTCTCTACCTTTACTTCTTGTGATTCCTTGTAATTGCTTATATTTTATTATTTATTTATTTATTTTATTATTCTATTTTTTGAAGCTACGTATCCTAATATTAGAAGTAATGAGCCATTAACAAACTTGACATATAATGAGTGGTGCAATTAAAGTCGAATTTTATTGTTGTATGTGGTTATAAACTTATTACATTTCCTAATCTTAAGTTGTAGTGGAATTTACTATTATTATGTTGGAAGTTGACATATGTTAAACTATTTTTTTTTTAATTTTAATTCTGTTATATTCGTGGTTCCAATTTACTTGTTTTAGTAGTATTGGCTCGCATAGCATGTTGTTCATTTTTTAGTTAGAATTGATAGATTAGTTTTGTCAAACATTTAAATTATGTTATGATATTATATTTATAAATATTAGTTTATTTTATCAAAATGAATTCCATGATGTTCTTACAAAACATATATTTTTAGTTTTGTAAGTATTTTAACTAAATATTATTAATTTGAACAATATTATAAATTATTTTTTATAATATTAGTTATAAATATATGATTATTATATAATATATATTTAGGAAAAAATATTATACATCTTAAATATATGATATTATTTATACTTAATAAAAAATTTTAGGCATATATTTATTATATTAACTTTTAAGTTTTGATAATTACTTCATTTAAAATTTAATCTAACTGTGTAATTACATTTGTGCAACCAAACAGTAAACTTGTAATTATACTGTAATTACACTATGATAAACAAACAAGTCGTCGTAATTACTAGGCTGTGTAATTACTACCCTAGTAATTACACTATTTCAATTACTGGGTGACTTTCCAAACCGACCCACAAAGAAAATTTTATGAAAAGTCTTAAAAGTACATATAAAAACTATATATTTATACGTCGGTTTGGTTCGTTTTTTACTCAATACCAAACCAAATCAAACTAAATCTGATCGGATTTTTTAATCAATTTGTTTTGACTTTTCAGTTTGAGGTGGTTTTCACGCCTACTCCTACTGGTAAATCCTAACACATCCATTTTTATGGGAAAATGACAACCACCTGGTTGAAGACGCTTAAGTTAGTGCTCTCCACTTCAATTCTATAAGAAGAAAGCAAATAATAATCAAGGAAAGAGTCGTTTGCTGCATAATTCCAATTCAAATCAAGAAATATAGTCGGCAGATTGTGTTACCACCTAACTCAAAAGGATAATTCAAATAAAACATGCAGGTAAGACTTTTTATTTTTTATTTTCTTTTCCTCCCACATCTGATTAATTAGGATGCATGTAATTACAAAGGTACCTCTTTTATAATCATATGCTATTGACCATATTTTTTTGGGTCCTAAATCCTATTTAACAAGGGCAGGTGACATACGTTTATAGCATAGATTAGTTCTTTGACGCTAATGATTTAGACTATAGATTACGTTTTGTTTCTATTTATTTCCTTTGTCATCCTAAAATTGATTATTGCTTGGTTTTTTAGTAACACATTCAACTTATTATAGGGTTGTAGGTAATGCAACATAAATATTAGTATGTGTTACTACTTACTACTAAGTGCATGTTCTAGCTAATAATTTTGGCTATTATTAGGGGAAGGAAGGTGACAAATATCAGCCAAATTAGTTGTCATTTTTACACTAATGGTAAGGCATTTATAGTTAATTTACTTATTATTGTAGTGGCTGTTGACTCTTCAAAATTTTCCAAGTGATTTTATAACAACTTTAGTTGAGAAGTTCCTTTCGAAGCTGAAAATCATGGCACGAAATTGATACCCAATGAAACACAAACGTCACCTAAATATTATTGAAAAAATAAAAATGATTGCCTTACCTGTAACCAACAATGTCCTTTTCTAATTCATGCAAAAAAATAAATATAATCATTCTTCACTAAGCAAGCTAGTTCAAGTAGACATGAAAATTGGTGTATAAATAATACTCCACTTTAGCAGCTTTTCTTTAGTGTTTTTGTCGACTCTTTGAGCCAAATTAAGTAGAGACTGTAGCTGCATTTTCTTACTAAGAGAAGAAAAAAAATGTATAATCCTATACTGGCAAAGAGCTTTAGCAACTATGAACGTAAAACATTTGGATTTGGTGCTTTTGTTGTAATTTTGATTATCGTGTTTAGCAGTTGCATGGTTTTCAAGTCTCATTTGCCTCCTCTATCTGTTAGTAAGTCCTCTGCATTTTAATTTTTAGCCATCATTTCCAGTAGTAATATTCTAATTTAACCTCTGTTTATAGCTTCACCAAGTTGAATTTGCTCTTCTTTTTTTCTTTTCTAGATGGTGATGCCATGAATTTACAATTATCTATAAATGCTGCTGAAGATATGCTTGTGATCAAGGACACGATCCTTCTCAAGAAATTAGGTTAGTCGACATACTAATATCCTATAGAATTCTTGTTAGTAGAGGCGGATCCAGAAGTTCAAGAGGATGGGTGCACTATTGTGAAGAGTTGGATTTAGAATTTACATTTGACGGGTTTAACTTTAATTTCTTAATTACCTTGAACCCACTACATTTTTAAAATTATAAGTTCAAAATTATATTCTTTTTGAAATTTTCATGATTTTCTCATATATATATATATATATATATATAGAGAGAGAGATCAATATCTGTACTCCGTGCTGAAACAAGACCGTCTCGAGTGGGAGAGGAGCATGGGTTCACGTGGACCCACGCCCCTTAACCTAGATATGTGCCTCCTTGTTACAATATCCCACATTGGATTCCGGGATTGTATGTTATCTCGTTATATGGTCTCGGTAATCCTCACCTCAAAAGCTTGCTTTTGATATTGACTTAGATCCAAGATCCATTTTCTTAACACGAAACTCATTGAAATTTGAAATCCCGAATTCTAATATTAACATTTAGATGAAACTATTTTGCAGAAACTGAGAAAAAGGATGCTAAGCCAATGTGTAATGTATTAGAACCATTGTCTGATTACTGTGAGACTAAAGGAGACATAAGAGTCCAAGGCAAATCCTCAATAATTTTCGTTGTGTCACATGATTTCAACACCTCTATTGGGAACAATTCATGGACTATACAACCTTATCCAAGAAAAGGAAATGCAGGGGCAATGACAAAAGTTAAATCATGGACAATAAAATTAGTAGAAGACGGCGAAAATATTCCAAAATGCAGTATTTATCATGGCTATCCAGCAGTTTTATTTTCACTTGGAGGATATTCAGGGAACCATTTTCATGATTTCTCAGATTTACTCATCCCAATCTTTTCAAATTCGCGACATTTTAATTCAGAAGTGCATTTTCTTGCCACGGATTACAAATCTTGGTGGATAGGTAAGTATCGAACATTGCTCAATATGTTGTCTAAGCACAAAATTCTTGACATTGACAATGAAAACGAGGTACATTGTTTTCTTAGTATAGTAGCTGGCCTTAAATCTCACAAGGAATTCAGCATTGATTCCTCAAAATTCCCAAATGGTGTGTCAATGCGCGATTTCAGACAGTTCTTGAGGAGTTCATTTTCTCTGAAGAGAGCTGAGGCTATTAAATTAAACAAAGATGTTGGTAAAAGGCCACGGTTGATGATTATGTCAAGGAAAAGATCGCGAATTTTATTAAACGAGGAAGAAGTTAGAAAAATGGCTGAAGATTTAGGATACGAGGTTGTCCTTGCAGAGGCTAACCTTAGTACAAATTTGTCAAGATTCGCGCAAATTGTTAATTCTTGTGATGTTATTTTGGGAGTGCATGGAGCTGGATTAACTAACATGGTTTTTCTCCCAGATAATGCAGTTTTAATTCAGTTAGTTCCTTTAGGAGCAATGGATAATTTGGCTAAACGTGATTTTGGAGATCCAGCAGGAGAAATGAACATAAGGTATTTGGATTATAAGATTGGTGTAAATGAGAGTTCTTTGGTTGAAAAATATCCACTTGATCATATAGTTTTCAAGAATCCATCATCTTTTTATAGGAAAGGATGGGATACATTTAGATCAATTTACTTGGATAAACAGAATGTGAAAGTTGATCTCAATAGGTTTAAGTCCACTTTGGTAGAAGCTCAAAAGCTTCTAGCCACTTTTTGATTTTGCACTCTAATGTACATTTTCAATTTTTGACCATCGCCTAATGCATTTTCCAAAATTGTATGAAAGATTATATTACAGTCAGATTTCTCTATAATAGTCATATTCTGTAACAACATTTTACTATAAAGGTTAAGTTGTGTCGTTGGAATCAAATTTCAATATTATGTTATAATATATGTTATCTATGAAAGTACTTCATTATATCAATCAAAAAAATATCGGAAGTGTACTATTGTGATATTGAAAAAATTTCAGCTAAAAAGAATCATTTAAAATATATAATAAGTTAGTTAATTGCTAATTTTCTTGTAATTGATGATTATTATATGCGATGTTACATAAAAGGCATAGCGGTGGAGAGTATTAGAGGAAAACATAATTTCAAAGATTGATGTTCAAATCTTCTATATGCTATACTGCGACCTAACATTGACTTGTGCCCTGATCAATTAGCACGATTGTTTTTATGAAAAAGATTTTATAAATGTTCAGAAAAAAATACAAAGGAATATTTTGGATAATTGGATTCTTCACCACACTTGTCTATAGTCTAGAGGTACCCAACTTTTCCTCCCAGACGTGCATTCCACCATATTTAGAGGAAAGGAAGTATTGGTAAAATGTCGCACTCTTAAACCAAACAACTTTCTTGGACCATTCAGCATTAGGGTTATGCATAATTTGGTAAATATCGAATTACCGTCCGAAATCAAAAATGTTGGTATTTGGTATTCGGTATGGTATTTGGTTTAAGTTTTTAAAAAAAATGGTATTAGGTATGGTATTTGATATTCTTTTAATGAAATACCGAAATGCCAATACCGTACCGAAATATATATTATATTATATTACACAAAATACATATTATTAATTATTGTTGGGATATATACTATTAACCATGGATTTGGTTTAGATATAGTATTTATTATGATAATATTGTTCATTCAATTTTAATAAAGTTTTAATAGATCATATATTAGTCGGTGTCCTTTGCTTATATAGTAGATGATTTAGTGTATAGAGTTTAGCTTATACACGGAAGATTAAATCATCGGTTCTTATAAGTATAAAGTTTGAGTTCACAATCTAATGATGGAATTGGACAAACCATCAGGAATGATTGTAGCACAAGATTAAATATAATTTATCTTGATTATGGGAATGGTTTAATTCCAACTTCTTGTGCTAGTACATTTTGTATGTATTGAACGGACCAAGTAGAGATAAGTATTTTATACTGACTTAATAAAATAAACTCTCTAGCCATTAAATGTACTTATACTCTTAATCTTGATATAATTATTATTAGCTGTGTATATTATTATTGTTTTGATTTATTAAAAGGCGAGATTCTTTCGTGGTCAATATGCCTGGTAAATTGGATAATAATAATGTACATTGGCGAAGTAATAGTTAGTTGATGGAATCCATGTCTCGGTTTAGAGATTGATGATACACCTTTATGAAAGCTTATAAGTTTTCATGTGTAAACCCGGCCGGTGGATTTTGTATCCGACACATGAAATAAGTTAAGCGAAAGTCTAAAGGAAATAATCAATAAATTAAATCGTCAGTAATTTAATTTAATTGATTAGTATCTGAATCTTAACATGGGGAGTTAAATAAGATTTAATGAATGAATTTCGAAATTGAATAAGGAGTGCAATTACGAATTTTTAGTGGAATAATTCGTAATTAATTATGGTGGATATTAATTTCGAAAATTATAAATTAATTCCATAATTGGAAGCCTTGTTAATTAAATTATGTGGTCCCTGTTGTGCCTAAATAATAGCAAATAAAGGAATCCTTTTTTCTGGTGGAAAAGAAAACCCAACAGGTTTTGGAAAAGGGTTTTAACCCTTAAAACTTGTGCTATAAATACATAAGATTTTCGACCTAGAAGAGGGAGCAAATGGTGGCCGAATTTCAGCCCCTTTTCCTTAGAAATTTCGCCCACACGAAATTACTATTTCCGGGTATTATTTATGGGTAACACAGTAGAAGACCGTGGAACGTTCGGAGATCGTGATCGTGCGGGTGGTGGAGAATTCATTGAGTTGCTGTAGAATTGGAGGCTCACGTGATAAAGGAGTTTTGCTCACGCTTCAAGAGGTAACCCGTGAAATCCCGTTTATGCTAGTTGTCTAGATTACATGTGATTTTGATACTGGGATTGCTTCCACTGCATATAATAATCCATCAATTGGTATCAGAGCCCACTCACATCTAATAATAACTAAGTTTTTCATGAAACAAGAATATCGTGTTTATGTGCGTTTTTGAATTAAATGTATATGTGATTTTCTGAAAAACTGCACTGTTGTTTTGTGAATTAACTGTGCAAAATTTTTGGATTATTCTTGTAATCATGAGATATCTGTTTTTTTATTGATATTTGATTGAGATTATCTGAATTTTTGGGGTAAACCCTAGAAAAATGCAAAACCCGATTTTGACCGAATAGCCGGTATTTTCGGAGGTCAGTGAACTTGACGGACTCCGATTAAGCTGAAATTTGGTGGGTCCATCGAAAACGACGTGGTGAGAAAAACTCACTGCTTTAGCAGTGAATCATGGTATTTTTCGGCGTTTTGAGATCGTTTGAACTTTGTTTTGGACGTTTTTCTATTTTCTGGAAATTATTTTTTAATAATTTTAATTCGTTTTTAATTAAATGGTGGTGGATGTGACTCCCCATGGTCTCCGTGATTAAATACTGGTGATATAATAGGTTTACACATTGGCTATTAGTAAATAGATATGTTGTTGAATTAAATTCAATAATAGAGATGTAGGATTTTATTCACTAGGTCTTACAAGGTATAATTGATATTGTGTAATGATATAATTATTTTGTAAGAAAGTGAAATCCTTTGTTTGATATCCTGGATGACTAATGATTGGCGCATTTGGCATATTGGTGCATAAAAATTTTCTCAAATTTTAGTTTATGTTTTCATGCCCTGCGTGATTGCTAGTCTTGGATCTTCGATGAAAAATTTTGTTCTCTGGTTGGAGGTTGTAATTAAGTGAACTATGACGATATTTTGTATGAGTTTTATATTATTGGCATGGCTTTTAAGCTGTGGTCCATAATCTGCCATAAAATAATTTTATGAGCTACATGTATCTTCACTTGTAAATTGAGAATTTTGTGAGTAATAAATAGTTACCACTAAAGTGGTTTGTTTATTTGAACTCATGAAAAATTCTTAATAAATTTGTACATGTGAAATTGTGTCTATTCATGGATTGAGCATTATGATTAATAAGTAGGATCCACAAAATGGTCTATTTATTTGAGTCATGAAAATCTGCTTAATGTACCATGTGAAAATTATCCTTGATAAATCTACATTAGTGGTGGAGGTTCCTAAATAGGAAAAGAGTTTTATCTTTGGGTACCAGTGAGACCAACTCCACCCATGAGAAGAGATATTGGAGTTTTCGCCGAACAAGAGAAAATATAATATCTTAGGTTCTTGTGTATTTATTAAAAGGATAATTATTGCACAAGAAGATATT